ATATTTTTAAGTTCTTGAGCGCGTTTTTCAACCGAATTCGCTGAAAATTGGTATTTTATAATCCTATATGGTAAAAAATCTCCCCACCAAAAATTATTAATATTCACACCTTTTTAGGTGTAGTCCTTATATAACCCCCCTTTTTTATATTAAGGGAACCCCACCCATTCTCGATTTTAATATTTCAAGATTTTCAATGGGCTGGTAAATCATTACCAATGCTTGTTAAGGTTTGTAACTTTGCAAATATATATTTGAAGATTTAAAAGAGAAGAAAAATAATTTACAAAAACTTTTGTTATTGTTTTTTGTAATTAAAAAAAAGTCCTTATTTATGATGGCGGGCATATAACTCCTCACTGGAACCCGAAAATTCCAACGGTGTTAGAAAGAGTACATGTATGGCTCTCGTATGAACTAAGATTATTGACTTCAATATATTTTTAGAAAATCGCGGATTTTTGACCAAAAACCAAGTTAAAAAATAAGGAAGATCTTCACAGACTGGCTTTATCCTAGTTCATACAATAGCTATACACTCACAGAGAAACGTGTAAAAATTTGGAATCGTTGATGCTGGCCCAATAAATCGGCTATATCTTCAAGAGTTCTTGAGATTTTCACTTGAAATTTTGTAGGGACATTCTTGAATTAGTGTAGATTCGAATAAAATCAAAAAATTTTTTGACCCCGAGAATGGGGGGGTCCCCTTAAAATAGTTATTTGAGTTGTTCCGTGTGTTGCGGTTGGGCAGTCGTTACTGGGAATATTCAATTTTTACACTACAAAGACTATTTAACCATCTGTTGTAAGCATTCCGCCTTTTAAAAATATTGTGATAAAAAAAAGAATTCAAACATGACGATAGTGATACCTCCTGAAGGAAAGAATTGATATAAACAATTAAAATATTGTGTTCAAAATTGGCATATACCGGTCATTAATTAGGCATAGCCCTTATATAATGATATCCCCAAATATTCACTATTTCCTACAATATTGGTCCCCCTTTAGTCATAGCCTCATATAAATTTGTAATCTAAATTACAGTAGTTTGAGGATTTTATACTCTACCATGCGTTATCAGTATCAGTCCATTTTTTAGATCTTACAGATTTTAGGAAAAATCCCCATTAAAAATTGCTGAAGTTTGTATTTGGTGTACATAATGGTTTACATATCGGTATATGCCCACTTGTAGAATTATCGGTATATGCCCACTTTTTGGTATGTCCCTATATTTTCATTGCATGTATCTGTTAGTATAGCTATGGTGGAGGGTATCCAACTCTTTTTCACTTGTTAATTTTTATTTACTCCCAAAAATATATAAAAATGGCTAGAAATAAATATAGTACACTGATAAAACATCATATTATCAGCGATTATTAAAATAATTTATCGCAGAAAATGATTTCGGAGAAATGTTCCATTAATAAACACACGATTTCTCAAATTATAAGTAGGTTTTATGCAACTATATCAGTAGTGACACTTCACCGCGGAGGGAGGCAGTGGAAAACATCAGTTCGTTCTGATCAACAAATTGTCAAAGCAAACAAGAGCGTGGACGAGCTATGGTAGCAAGTCTACATTCCCGAAAACTATTTGAAAAGAATCAGCAAGCCAGTCAGTTTGGCTCATATTAATTGGAATCCGACTCAGTGGAGAAATGTTTTGTTCTCGGATGAATTATAATTTAATATTAACGGCTCAGACACAAAAAATGACCGTGAGAAGGTAACAAAATGAAGGGCTCAAGCCTCAGTATTTCAAAGGTACTTGGAACCATGGAGGGGGATCAAAAATGGTATGGGGATGTTCGATATATTTACAAGATTCATAAAGTAATGGATAGGATCAGAGATGGTCCGTGTGACGAATTTTTTAGGTTTTTGACTTGCAAAAAGGTGTAAACGTCGAAAACGTCATATATATGTATAAAATGTAATAATTGTAACCGTCATTTATTTCAATATTATCATATACAATTATTTTCAAGAATGTATATTATTTTTACATATATCTGACTATTCCTTACTAGAACTGATAAAAATTTCTAAATTTTTTTTGAGAAAAACATCTTGAAATTTTATACGGATTTGGATAAGGCATGCGTAATTTCAAATTGATTAATGGAAATAGCTTTTTTGTCAAAAACCTAATGGATTTGGGTAGGTTTCCGACGTTTCTGACGTATGTATAATATGTCGGAAATGTACAGGGTTGCCCATATTCGACGGACCCATGTGTTTTTTTTTTAATCAAAGAAAAAAATAAAAAATTGGCGGTTGGCAATGTTAATCATTTAATTTGTTCCAAGTAGTTTTGTTTACATCAATTTTTTATATGATATCTCTCAAATGGGAGTCTCTGGCGTTGATGACGTATTGTGCCCTCTTTGCTGCATTTTCCATCGTTTTTGCCAACATTTCGCCCGGAATAGCGGTTATTTCTTCACGAATGTTGTCCTTGAACTCTTCTACGGTCCTTGGCTTGTTAACGTAAACCTTTGACTTCAAATATCCCCACAAGAAGAAGTCAGGCGGCGTCAAATCGGGCGAACGCGGTGGCCAGTCCAAATCACCACTTTTCGACATAAAACGGCCCGGAAACAAATTCTTCAGAAAATCGATTGTTATGCGACTTGTGTGGGGTGGAGCGCCGTCTTGTTGAAACCAGAACTGCCTCATACGCTTTCGACGATAACGCTCCTGATTGATGGTAACAGCATCGCCATTTTCATTTTGGAAGAAAAACGGCCCAATGACCGTTTTCGCACTAACGCCGCACCAAACTGTGACTTTTTCGTCATGAAGAGGCACTTCTTGAATCTCCTGAGGATTTTCAGTGGCGTAAAAACGACAATTTTGCTTATTTACGGTCCCATTCAATGTGAAATGGGCTTCATCGGACATGATAATTTTGTTCCAAAATTACTCGTCATTTTCGGTCATTTCGATGACTCTTTGGGCCCATTCCAATCGACGAGGCTTGTCCGCAGGCAACTTTCTTTGCGTCAATTGAATTTTGTACGGGAACAAATGCAAATTAATGCGAAAAATCCGTTGTAAAGTGGACCGAGCTATGCCCAACTGCTGAGAACGGCGTTTTTGGGATGTTCTTGGGGACCTCTCAACACTGGCTCGTACGGCAGCGATATTCTCGGCCTATCGCCTTGGTCGACTTTTATATGGCCTCTTCGGATTAGAAAGAGCCTTACCAGTCGAAAATTTTTCGTATAAACGCTTAATGGTGCGCACTTCTCACATTTTTTAATGTTTTAAAAGCACGTTGAGTTTTCACAATTGACTTCTTCTTTTGAATGTAAATTTCAACTATTTCAGAGTGCTCGCGTGGCGTGAATTGGTTCATGGTAAAAATCTGCTTGGACTGACGCTTCAAACGCGGTATGTCATTAAGCGATGTGACATCTCTGTCAAATGTTATGGCTTATTTATAAGAAAAAATTAAAACGGTTGCTTTATTGCAAACATTTTAATTTCAGTTTTTGCCACCAGGGTAGATCTCTCATCTTCGTTCAGTTTCATGTAATGGGTCCATCAATAATACTACGTCCATTCGGTCAACATGATATGCTGCACATACCAACAAAACCATTAGAGACTGATATATTTTCAATAGATTGAAATTATTTCTTACATTTCAAATGCCTATAAGAGTTTTTTGTTGTAATCGATTGTTGATTAAGGTAGACAAATCAGCAATCGATTACAACAAAAAAAATTCTTATATATAAAATTTGCCTTGAGTTATAAAGATATTTTGGATATTTTCGAGGGTAACTACATAGTGATCGGTTAGAAATATGTCGGTGCCCAAAATATTTTGGGACATTAATGGCTTTGAATTACAGTATTTAAAAAATATGAATTTATTTAACACAAAAAAAAAATAGAAAAAATTTATTTTATAATAAAAACACACTTTATTTACATAAGCCATAAATAAATAAAAAGTATAACCAAATTAAATTGTGTTATTAAAAGATGTTTCTATCTCGAATTCGTCATGCTTAATACTTGGTTGTAAATCGATAAGTAAATCGACTAATCGACTTTTTGTATTGAAAAGTCTATAACTCGATGTCGATTTTTGATCATTGAGGAAATCACAAAGACGACTTTCGACTTTATTATTTCGTATTATCGTCTTGTTAGATCTGCTTCTACGAATATTTTTGAGTGTTTGGAACGAGGTCAAAGCAGCAATTGTTCCATTGGTCTTGGAATAAGCTTTTCTGTATTTACTAGCTTTTGTTGGCGAATTGCCTATTTCTATGAGCACTTTTATGCGTTGGAACCAATTGTCAAAGTTTGATACACTTCCAGAACATGGGTTATAAATGCTTAAACAGTATTTAGCGACGATGTGTTTATGTGCGGGAAAAAAATATGTCAGGGATTATGGGCCATCATTTCAACATTTTTGACGCCCTATTAAGTTCGTGAATATTGTTGCGTCAGACTAACGCAAAATGACGTCATTGCTATAGCATTAAAATTTTAAATTCAATTTATATTTATATATTTGATAAATAGATATGTACTATGATTTCGAATATTGCGACGATTTTCAATTTTTTTGCTGGTTTATTTTTTGCAGTTTCCTGGCCTTTTTTGTCCACGAACGTTTTAAATAGGCCGTACTATATCTTGTAGATTCTCAAATCGCAGTATTTATAGGTAGGGACAGGAGGTCCCCCAATTATGTTTGTGGTCGCATACCTGAACAATCATCATACCAAATTTCATTGATTTTTTTGTTATGGTGCGTAAGATTTTTTTTTATTTTTTTTAGGAGGAATTATTTTTAAGATCTGAAAACGTACACCAGTTAAATGCTAATCAATATGAAAAAAGTGAATATTTATTTATTTTTAGTTTTACATTTTTTAATTAACTGTATTAATTATATCAATAAAAATTATTTTAGTATATAAATAAAATGTGTTATAAAATGTAAAAAAAATAATATTTTTAAGAACGACGTTTAATACCGACTTTAATACCATTGCCACTCTTCATTACCAGTTCGGGCAGAGCAACCGGTTTAAAGTCCTTGACGGGTAAAAATTCAAAATTACGCAGCAAGTGTGACAAACTGCATTTCAATTCCAGCATGGCGAACTTTTGACCTGAAATAATAAAACATATATATTTTTAGTGAAAGATTTGTTTAAAGAAACCTTTAACAGAATGTGAATTAACAGAATGGATGTGGATATGTTTTACAAAAATATTCCTCATTCGATCTTGAGTCAAATAATCTGCAATAGCCTCAAGCAAATATATAAAGTGCGTTTTTCATGGATTTTATAGTTATCAGTTAAAAATCATCGTACCAAACTTGACCTACGATGAATTTGTCCTTTTGGGTAAATACCAAACTCCACAAGGTCTTTTATTTCCAAAAGGTATTTTCCACCCTTAAAATCTTGTTCTACAGTTTTAAAAATGTTGGTAGATCTTTGAGTATAGCCCCTATATAAAAGTCCAGCTTCTTTATAAATATTTTGATGCATCAAAGCACACTTTAGTATCACAAATTGAATATAATTTTCCATTCCGACAGATGTAATTTTCCATACAACTCCGACTTTAACGATGTGTTAACTTCTATTTACTTTATTGGTTTAAATAACAAAATTACGTTTTATGTGTCCTGTGAAGCTTTAGGCTTCTCTGGAGAACTAATCGCAGTTTTCTAAACGAAGTTCCTGTAATCTCAGTCTCAGGTGGAGGATATTAAAAAGTTCAGATCAGACGTATGTTTAGAATGTTTCACAAGGCGTAATTAACGAAATGTACCATACCATACACTACTTTTGGAACATACAAAGGTTCTCCTAAGATTATTATTGTAACCGACAATAATATGCACATAATATATATATATATATATGATATAATCTGTACATGATGTGAATAGTGTTCAAAATGTGTTGCCAGTGTCCGGATTTCTGCACTTTATGAATTATGAATTATAAAACTTCAAATAAAGGCTTCTTGTCAGAGAGAGAGATAGATAGAGAGCGAGAGAGAGACTGAAAACAAATTTTGAGTGTGTTTGGTGTTGGCTTTCTATGGCACAGAAACTCTTTATCATTTATCATGCTTCGGAATGTCCGATTTTGGTCAAGTATGCACCGTTTTGTTCTATGATTTGTTTCCATTTTAAAGGTAACTTCATAATGCCTCTCTCATAGAAGTCCTGCTCTCTATTTGCAAAAAACTCTTGTAGTCGATTTTCACAATCCTCCCTAGATAAAAATTTGTATACCCTTCACCACACTGTGGTACAGGGTATTATGTCATTGAGCATATGTTTGCAACAGGCAAAAGGAAACGATATAGACACACGGTTCCTTTTGAGAATATGCATAGAATCACTTTCTGAGTCGATTAAAATTGCAGGTCGCATTTATCATCCGATTTGGATGAAATTTGGCACAGCACACTTATTTGGCCCAAGGACGAACCCTATTGAAATTGAAGGAAATCGGATCAGATTTAATTATAGCTCCCGTATATAGTTTCGGTCGATTTAAGGGGACCCCCCATTCTCGGTGTCAATTTTTTTTTATTTAATTCGAAACTACATTAATTCAATAATGTCCCTACAAAATTTCAAGGTAAAATCTCAAGAACTCTTGAAGATATAGCCGATTTATTGTGTCAGCATCAAGTGACGGCTAAAGGGCTTCTCAAACTTTAAACGCGTTTTTCTCTTTTGCGAATGACGAGCACGATAACTTAAAAACTAATAACCCAATCGATTCCAACTTTTTACACGTTTCTCTGTGAGTGTATAGCTATCGTATGAACTAGGATAAAGCCAATCGGTGAAGATCTTCCTTATTTTTTAACTTGGTGTTTGGTAAAAAAATCGGCGATTTTCCAAAAATATTTTGTCAAAGGTCCGCCATTTTGTTAATTTTAGAGCGAAGTCAATAATCCTAGTTTATACGAGAGCCAGACATGTCCTCTTTCTAACACCGTTGGAATTTTCAGATTCCGATGTTCGAGTGAGGAGTTATCATGCCCGCCATCGAAAATAAGGACTTTTCTTTGAACACAAAAAAAAAGAAAAAAACAACAAATTTTGGTAAATTATTTTTCTTCCTTTTTAAATCTTCAAATATATATATGTGCAAACTTACAAACCTTAACAAACATTGGTATTCATTTACCAGCCCATTTAAAATCTTAAAAATAAAAAATCGAGAAAGGGGCGGGGGTTCCCTTAAGGTAAATGGTGCGCCAATGTCCCTAAATATCTTTTGATTTGCATTAAATTTGGCATAAAGTTCTGAATTATGCCCAAAAGGATGTGTGCTAAGTTTCGTGAAAATCGGTTCAGATTTAGATATAGCTCCCATATATAGTTTTGTCCGATTCTATGTAAATGTTGCTCCAATGGCCCTATATACCTTTCGATTTGCACGAAATTTTGCATATTATACTGAATTATGTCTAGAATGATGTGTCAAGTTTCGAGAAAATCGGTTCAGATTTAGTATAGCTCTTATATATATTTTCGTCCGATTTAAGGTATCTAAATTTGGCACCGTGTACTCAATTGAGTTTGGAATGACGTGTGTTAAGTTTCGTGAAAATCGGTTCAGATTTAGATATAGCTCCCATATATAGTTTTGTCCGATTCTATGTAAATGGTGCACCAAATATGCGAAATATTGCATAGTGTACTGTATTGAGGCTAGAATGATGTGTGTCACGTTTCGAGAAAATCGGTTCAGATTTAGATATAGCTCCCATATATATTTTCGATTTGCACGAAATTTGGCATAGGGCACAAAATAAGCTCCTATATATATTTTCGTCCGATTTAATGTAAATTGTGCACTAAAGACCTATAGTTTGGCCGACCGGCACACAATTTTGTACAATGTACTGGAGTTACTATAATTGAATGTTTTGTACGTTGAAGTACTTTTCGTGCCTTTGAGATGGAAATTTGTCCCTATCATAGATCGTGTGTTAAGTTTCGAGAAAATCGGGTTAGATTTAATTTAAGTTCGTTCAATTTCATGTCAATGTTCCTTCGAAAAGGGGACGTCTGCTTCTACTTGTATTCTAAGTGAGGTACATGTACAATATGGAAAAAATAAACTATGAATGTGTAAAGTCTTCAATTTTCTCACACCTTACAAGGAAATGAGGGACTTCTATAGCTTCTCAATCCGAGTGTGTAAAAGATATTCATCTGATGTATTTAGAGAACGTGAAATCTGATATTGCAAACAATTCTGCATCTTTAAGTCAAAAATTACGATTTTTGATTTATGCCGGTCTTGCATCAAATGATCGGTATGTGAATGGGGTATGCTGCACTAAATTTTGTCTTAATGAAAAAAACGTTGAGTTGGGTGACGAAAATATATATGATGGGTATATATAAATCTGAAGCGATTTGGGCAAAACTTAATATACATCTTCGAGACTCAATTATAAACGCTGTGCAACTGTACCGATGTGAACGAAATTGAATACACCTCTTAGACTCAATTCTGTACGCTGTGCAAAATTTCGTCTCAATCGGACAACAATTGGGCATTTGGTGAACATTTAAAACTATTCCGTACGATGGACGAACGTTGGGTCTTTGTTGCATCTTTTACAAAAAATCAAATGAAGTCATGTATGAGGACTACATCTAAATCTGATCTGATTCGAAACGTAATACACGTCATTATAGGCTCAATTTGGTTCGATGTACAAATTTTCCTCTAAATCAAACAAACGTTTCGTATTTTGGACACAATTTATATGAAAATGGTCGATGGTACCAATGGGGCGTTATATACAAATCTGAAACGATTAGAAATTTAATACGTAGACCCTAGACCCAATTCGGGTCTATCGGACAAACATTGGGTGTTTGGTTCACCATTTAGATGTTATGGTTCAAAAATAAATATGGGACTTATATCTAAATCTAAACCGATTTTAAGGAACTGATCCGATTGCACGTCATTTTAAATTCAAATCAATATGCTATGCAGAATCTTGTGTAGATAGGAAAAAGACAGAGTCTTTCGTGAACCATCCACATAAAAACAGACCAAAATATATGAGAGCTATACCTAAATCTAAACAGATTTTAACGAAACTTGACACACATCAAGGTTTTCCAAATTTCGTCTCAATCTTACAATCCTTAAATATAAAAATCTTTTCTCAACTAACTTACCAATACAGTTTCTCGGCCCAGCACTAAATGCAACAAAACTGAACGGGTGCAAATCTTTTTCATTCTTAAAATATCTTGAAGGATCGAATTTTTCCGGATCGGGATAATAGGTTTCATCACGATGTACCATGTAGGCTAAAATACTGACACTAGCACCCTTGGGTACCGTCAGCTGACCAACTTGTAAATCTTCGTTGACAGCACGTGAATAGAATGGCACCGATGGGTATAAACGTAATGTTTCCTTAATGATGGCCTCCATGTAGGGCATGGATTCTTTTTCACGACCCTCCATAGCCATTGCCTCTTCATAGGCTTGCTTTTGCACTTCCGCATGTTGCGATAACAAATAAATAGCAAAACCAATTGCAGAACTGGTCGTGTCATGTCCCTCAAACATGAATGTATCAACTTCTTCACGAATTTCACGATCCGATAGTGGGACACCTTCCATTTGTGAAATCAGCAGCATGTCCAAAAATGCGAAACGTTTCTTTTGACCAAAACTATCACAAGACTTCTCGGCTTCCTGCATAGTTGTGATTTTGGAATCTTGTAACATTTTACGCCTTAGTTTAATTACACGATTGGTTTCGTCATGTAGAATTTTCAAGCAGGCATCACGCTTGCGGCCATCCTCCGTGAATTTAAAGAAGACATTATTCCTTTGCCAAAAGTTAAAGGAACGTTTGTGTAAAATGTGACAAATTCTAAAACAAATAAATAAATTATTTCAAAGAGTTTCAAATTTACTTCTCACACTCACTGTTGCACCGCCTTAACATAATCCGATTCGGATTGCATTTGTGCATTCTTCTTAATACCCATGGCCGTTTCACAAATAACATCCAAAGCGAACAGCGTAATATAGGGATAAATATCGAATTCTTCGCCATTCGCCTTCTCCTCTAGGCGACGCATTAGGATACGACAATTTTCCTCCATTGGTCCTTTAAATTCACTTAGAATACGAAAATGAAATGCTGGTGTCAGGAATTTTCTTCTTGAATGCCATGATTCTCCACCATTTGTTAACAGACCCTTGCCCAGCCAAGGCTCGACACTACTGTAATTCCTAGATTTATGCAAAAGATTATTGTTGCCCAACAACTGTTTGACATCCTCTGGGTCGGTAAAGAAAACCATCAAATCTTTGCCCAACCAAATGCGGAAGGTTGCGCCGTGTTTTTCACGTAACTCCTTAAACCATGAAAGGATTTCTGGAAGAAATTAAAAAAAAACAACAAATTATTGCAATTACAAATTATAAAGCATTAAGAAAATAACCAAAGGCAGACTGGGCCAACTACATGCTACAGTGCATATATCTACCGTACATGTATATTGGATAGGGATGTTTTTATTTCAAGCTACAGTAATATTTACCGACTTAAACCAAACTAATGTGCACCATATGTAGTTTTTAGAGTGTTTAAACAAAATTTAACACACGTCCTTCTAGACTCAATTCAGTACTTTGTATTCCGCCTCGATCAGGCAAACTTTGGGAACATGGTGTACCATTTGCATGAAATCTCGATGTCAAAAAAAAATTAATATGTTTTTTTTTAATTAATTCGAATCTGTACTAATTCAAGAATGGCCCTACAAAATCTCAAGAAAAATCGGTTCCAAATTTTGACACGTTTCTCTGGGAGTGTATAGCTATCGTATGAACTAGGATAAAGCCATACAGTGAAGAACTTCCTTATTTTTAACTTAGATAGTTGTAACAATAGGCGAATTTCCAAAAAAATCAAAGGTCCGCCTTTTTTTAATTTTGGATTCCGGATTTCGATGTTCCAGTGAGGAGTTTCATGCCCACCATCAAAAATAAGGACTTTTCCTTAATCACTAAAACCCACAACAACCAAATTTTGGCAAATTATTTTCTTATCTTTTAAATCTTCAATTATATATGTGTAAAGTTGCAAACCATAACATGCTTTGGTATTCGTTTACCAGCCCAATGAAAATCTTGAAAATTTTAAATCGGGAATGGGGAAGGGGACCTTCCCGGCTGAAAATATATATTGGAAATATATCGAAATCTAAACCGATTTCAGTGAAACTATGCTATTATAGAATCAATTCGTTGTTATTATAAAATCAAGCGTTTCAATCTAACAAACCTTAGGTATTTGGATCATCATTTAAATTCTTTAAAAATTATACGCCTATAGACATTTTAAAAAATCTACGCCTATAGACATTTTAAAAAATCTACGCATATAGACATTTTAAAAAATCTACGCCTATAGACATTTTAAAAAATCGACGCATATAGACATTTTAAAAAATCTACGCCTATAGACATTTTAAAAAATCTACGCCTATAGACATTTTAAAAAATCTACGCCTATAGAAATTTTAAAAAATCTACGCCTATAGACATTTTAAAAAATCTACGCCTATAGACATTTTAAAAAATCTACGCATATAGACATTTTAAAAAATCTACGCCTATAGACATTTTAAAAAATCTACGCCTATAGACATTTTAAAAAATCTACGCCTATAGAAATTTTAAAAAATCTACGCCTATAGACATTTTAAAAAATCTACGCCCATAGACATTTTAAAAAATCTACGCCTATAGACATTTTAAAAAATCTACGCCTATAGACATTTTAAAAAATCTACGCCCATAGACATTTTAAAAAATCTACGCCTATAGACATTTTAAAAAATCTACGCCTATAGACATTTTAAAAAATCTACGCCTATAGGCCCTTTATAAAATCTACGCCTAAAAATCTTGGTATCCTCTACAAGAATCTGTGCCTATAGGCCCTTAAAACATTTACGCATATAGACCCTTGAAAAAGGGTATAACAAACCTACGCCTATATACCCTTAAAGGGAACCCCACCCATTCTCGATTTTAATTTTTCAAGATTTTCAATGGGTTGGTAAATCAATACCAATGCTTGTTAAGGTTTGTAACTTTGCACATATATAATTGAAGATTTAAAAGAGAAGAAAAATAATATACAAAAAAATTTTGTTATTGTTTTGTTGTTGTTTTTTGTAATTAAAGAAAAGTCCTTATTTTTTATGCCGGGCATGGTAACTCCTCACTGGAACAACGGAATCCGAAAATTTCAACCGTGCTAGAAGGAGGCTCTCGTATGAACTAGGATTATTGACTTCGCTCTAAAATTAACAAAATGGCGGACCTTTGAAAAAATATTTTTGGAAAATCGCCGATTTTTGACCAAAAATCAAGTTAAAAAATAAGGAAGATCTTCACCGATTGGCTTTATCCTGGTTCATACGATAGCTATACACTCACAGAGAAACATGTAAAAATTTGGAAGCGATTGGGTTATTAGTTTTTGAGTTATCGTGCCCGCCATTCGCAAAAGAGAAAAACGCGTTTAAAGTTTGAGAAGCCCTTTAGCCGTCACTTGATGCTGACACAATAAATCGGCTATATCTTCAAGAGTTCTTGAGATTTTCACTTGAAATTTTGTAGAGACATTCTTGAATGAGTGTAGAATTGAATTAAATAAAAAATTTTGACCCCGAGAATATTATTTTACAAAATCTAATATTTTTAAAAATATTTTTAAACAAGTAAAACCGTGGTGCAGTTCTGCCTGGCCGAACATTTTTTATCCTCCGCCATGAATGTTGGGGCTATGACAAAAGGTTGATCGATATATTCCATCTTCAATGTCAAACATCCCAAGAATAGTAGCAAAATTCCAAAGCTATGTCATGGCCAAATACACCATCATGGTGGCATGCACTCATTGGTATAAAAACTGGGCTTGCAACTTGAACGTACCGAAAATTAGCCAGGACCCATGTGGTAGTTGGCTATTAAAAATACATTGAAGATTTTCTAGGAAACATGTACATATATCGAAAGTGTTCTGCAAAACAAAATTAAAACCACCTCGGTTGGAAAATTCTTTAAAAATGTCAAAAATGAATCGAAAACGTTTATATGGGGACAATGACAAAATATGGAATTATACAAAATATTTTCTGCAAAAAAAAAAAAAAAATGTACACTCCAAGAACCCGAAATGCTAAATTACAGCTACTTTTGTGAGAAAATTTCGAAGCTTAGATAAAAAAATGACTTACACCTTCCAAAAACTCTGTAACACCTATAATATTGTATCCAAATCGGTGTAAAATCGTATGACATCGATCCACTCCTTCTAGTATTTCCCCCCCAAAATTGTGAAAAGTTTTAAATTTCATATGGAGCGAACGGAATATACATATTACATCCAAAATTTGGACATCATAAAAGCCTAGATCAAGTCCGAAGATGAGTCTAGTCGAACCTCTACTTCAATATTTTTTAAAACATTTAAATTTCATTTGAGGCGAATGGAGTATCCGATTTTATCCATTAATTGCACATCATAATATTTTCCTAAACCTACATTAAGTCCGCAAATGGGTATACTTCTGGTACTGCGCCACAGATAAGAATATATAAGTTATACTAAGAGAATAGTAAATCCTATCTTAATATATAAAAAAAAACTTAGTGATATGTGAGTGACTGGCAGATCATCGCCCAAACGAAACGACTGAAGATAGAAGCTTGAAATTTTGAATGTCGAACTAGAAGGGTACGAAATGTACTTAAAGGCACAAAATATGACACCCTTTGTATTACTCAAACGGGAAGAACTAGAATTCTAAAATTTGGAAAGTTAGAAAGATGTGCAAACGAAACGACTGAAGATAGAAGCTTGAAATTTTGAATGTCGAACTAGAAGGGTACGAAATGTACTTAAAGGTACAAAATATGACACCCTTTGTATTACTCAAACGGGAAGAACTAGAATTCTAAAATTTGGAAAGTTAGAAAGATGTGCAAAAGGGTTTTTTCAAAATTCGACCCACTAAAAGTACTAAACTTTAATACATCTAGTTCTTCAACATATATAGCTAGAATCTTGAAATTTTATATAGAATACAGGTTGGGAAGTGGTATTGTTAAATATTGTGAATTATCCAATCGGCAACACATATATTTAATGGTATTTAGAGATCCCTAAAGTGATTAGTTACAATAAGAAATGGATACAATTCATGGTTACTTTTAATAGACACATAAGTAGTCATTAGAATAAACCAGACTTAGAATTATCTAGAATGAGAATGATCGAGAATATGTACCAATTAGATAAAAGAGGTTGCAACATAGAACGATTGTCTCAGTTGTTGTGTATAAGTCTCAGTTATAAGTTAAAGTCTCAGTTGTGAAGTAAAAGCTCTATTGTTAAAGTGTCGTCATAAGTGTGAAAGTAACGAGTGCTGTAAAGTTTGGAGTTTGTGTAAATAAAGTTTGAAAACCCCTCGAATATAAAACTGTGTTTTTTATTTGCTGTGGACATCACTGGATATTTGAAAAACTAATTTTCAACAGGTATGGTATGTATGGAAATGGTTTTAGAAATTTGTACTTATGTAAAGTACTAAATGATACTAAATTTGGTACATTTTGCATTTAATTGATCGTATAGAGACTGAATCCCAAAAATGAAAATTATGATTGGAGTACAGGATTGAGTTAGCTTTAACAAAATCTTTTCTTATGTGTTCGAAAAGTACTATATGGTACTAAATTCGGTACAAGTTGGATTTAGGTGATCAGATAGAGCTAAAGTCTTGAAATAGGAAATTGAGGTAATTTAGGAAATTCATAATTATGGACACGAAAAGTGCTAACTGGTACTACATTTCGAACAATTTTGGATTTTGGGTGAACGGATGGAACTGAAATTTGGAATTAAGATTATTGATGAGCTTTGGAAAATCGTATTTATGTGTACGAATAGTACTAAATTTGGGTAAATGAGAGAGCTGGAATGTGGGTAACAGACCGAGAGTTAAAAAGAATACCAAAGGGTTTTTGGTAGTAACTGGTACACCATTTAGTTAAACTTGAAGTACGTATGGAGGTAGTCTTCAAAATGTGTGCTAATGTGTTCCACGCTGGCACTAGAATGTAGTCCCGTTGGCCTTCGCGAAATCTAATATACAGTAAAATCTGCAAACAATTGCAGATCCCATTCCGGATGGCCACATTATCCGGATTATCGAGTGGTTTAAATTTATATCATTTAGTCATAATTCATTCATTGAAAAATTTAACAATTTAAATTTAATAGGTACCATTTTTTGTAAATAATCCAGATTATCCGAGGTCCGGATTATCGAGATTTTACCTTAACTGTCGGCAGCACCGACTGACAATTTTTTACTTAACTGTATCGAAGTATGCCCACATCCAAAAACTCGGAACGTCTCTTGGTTAAAATATGTGGTTATATCCCTCAAAATACCGAAAATGATTTGTCCCGTTATATAAGAGCTAAACATATGTGTACCAATATATCCCGTTTGTAATGACAACATCCCAGGAGTAGTAGCAATGCATCTTTCAACAGACGGACATGTCTAAATTGACATAGAATTTTATTCTGAATAAGAGTATATACCGCCGGTTTTACATGTAAAGGTAATAAGTCCATATTTTACTCAACACTACAAAACAACAACAAACAAGTGAAAATGCATTAAGTTCGGCCGGGCCCAATTTTTGGGATCCCTCGACCTCGTACTAAAAAATACCAAATTGCTGTGAATTCGGTTGAAAAACGCACTCAAGTACCCCAAATTTTGTGGGCAGATTTGTGGACACAATAAGAACTTAAAGTACTAAATTACAGCCAATTCGGTCGAAAAATACGAACAAAACCCCAAAATACTGAAAATTGGGGGGTATCGTTATATGGCCGACTATCTCAATTCGTTTAGATGCTAGAATGATTACAACAAACAGATGGGTATGGTTAAATCGTCATAGAATTTTATGCTGATCAAGAATACAGTATACGTTCCCATGGGTCGGAAATGATTAATTCGATGAGTTACAAACGGAAAAGCAAACTTAAAATACCCTCCATACTTGGTGGAGGGTATAAAAATGTCATAATTGTAGATTTTTTTACTAAATCGATTTGTTTTTACTTATTGGACATGTCGGTATCAAAATCTCAATTTCTAGAAAAAAAAATGACTTATACCCTTTTAATGTTAAGCCAGCGATATATTTTATAAGTCTCCGACAAATATTCCGAGGTGTTGCCAACGGAACGCCAGATTTAATATGCACTCTACTGTGGAGGGTGCAAAAGTATTAAAATGATAATTTTGTTCAAATAGTCCATTATAAAAATTATAACTTATAAATTATCTCAGGTCGTGCATTTTTCGGGTTTCAGCCATATTTTTATTTGGCCTAATGAACACAAAGACCCCTTTTCAAATAATTAAACAAAGAGTAACAAATAATTAATTTTTTTATTGTGGAATACTCGAAGTTTTGTTTGTTTGCATGCACCTGATAAGTACTGTGTACCTGAAAGGGTATAATATAATTTATTTTGGTAATTATAGTTCGTCATTCAATTTTCTATATTTTACAATTTTCGATTTTTATTACAAAAACATCTGCTCTATAACTAAACACTAGTGTCTAATGAAATGTCATTCATACGTCATCAACGACCAAAGTCTGGCAATCACTACTTATCAGTCCAAACATAATCATTAAGTTCGTGTGTAAGGCACTCATCGTGCATCGATGATGATGATAAGATCGCTACTATTTGATATCAAAGTCCATTTTGATATCACAGTGGCACATGTAGGTCGTGTATGTTGTTGTTGTACATTAAACACACAACAGAACTAGTTCTAATTTAATTTATTCAATATCTGATTGCACTTAACATTTTTTTTTTCATTTTCATTCTAAAACTTACGTCCTTTTTTAACATTTTCAATGAATTCACTGATTGTGGGACCCGGTACCGATTGAGACCATTGTCGTAGTTTGAGAAATTCCATAATTTTTGGCAAGCTACGCATAAACAGAGCCCATAAGGCGAAGGCTATTAAAGCCCATGTATTCATTTTGATTTGTTTGTGTTTGTTGTTATTGGTGTTGTAGTTAAAAATAAGCACAACTCGTTTATTTGTTTGTTAGTTAAAACACGCTTCTACTTGTAGAAAAATCCAACCGGGCCCCCAATGGAACGACGTGTGCACGCGTAACCAGTTAGATAGCAACTAAATGAAGTCGAATGAAAACAAACAAACAAAACCAGAATGAGTCTATGTTTTTTAGTAGCAGTTCCCACTTCGCTGGCAGCTATGATGTTTACTAAAGAGAAACGATCGGAACTAATCGCTCTCTTATGTTGTTCAACTAAGAGTTGGAATGTTATTGTAGAATTTATTGATTGTAATTTATTGTTATCTGTGGTCAGTTTTAGTTTTAAACTTAACCTAGTTTTTGGCGTTCATTCATGATTGTTGTAAATATATTAGGGTGTTCGGGTTTGGATATGGTTTATTTTTTACTGAAAATTATTGTTAAATAACAAAAATTTAAAGGGCAATGTGTACCACTGTAAAAAATTTCCACATTACCTGCCAAGTATTTATTTCGCCGTTTTGAGCTTTTTAAATATGATGCAATATCAATTTTATAGACAAGTTTGTCCTGGAATATATGTGAACAACAAAAATGTCTTTTAAAGAATTTGTTTTTATTTTCTTAACACCGAAAATATAAAGAAGAAAGTGGTACTGCACATTACCCGAAGTTCCTCTAATGACATTAAAAAAAATAAAACAAGTAAAAAGTGTCAGTCGAAGTTCCTCTAATTACATGAAAAAAAGTAAAAAGTGTCAGTCGGTGTTGCCGACACATATATACCCTCAGCCTATGGTTTGTGGAACGCAGATTTTATTATTGGTGGTATAAAAGGTATATGTTTTTATCAAATAATTGGTTCTCTTTGGGAGGACCGGAGGTCCTATAGACCCAATTTTAGGATTTAATGTAGGATTGGAAAAATATTACGATTTGCAATATTTGGATCAAATCGGACATTCCATTATCTTGATAATAGATTAACAAATTTTCTAAAATATAGACACATATGAAAGGAAAATTATAGGTCCTTATGAGATTTACACGTTTTAAAATGTTGACCCTTTGTGACGGATGTGGGGGAGGCTGGGGCACCTTCGGCATCGGGGCACCTTCGGCAATCGCGTTTTCGATATGAAGCTCTCACCGTACATCACTAGTTTCGATACATAGGTATCGAATATCGAAATAAATAACTGACACAAAGTTTGAAATTTCTAGCTAATAAGCTTATTTAAATATATGGGTTTTTGTATTTTTATAGATATTTCTGTAATATTTCAATTCCATTTCGTAAGTATTTCGTGTATAAAACTTTTAAAATTTTTGAGACAATATTATTAACTACGATGTGTATTTGTTATAAAAATATTTAAAAATAAAATGTTTTACAAATCTGATCGAAAAAAATGAAAAAAACTGTAAAAAGTACATTCGGGGTACATTCGGCATTTCAAAATGGGGCACATTCGGCCATATACAGATTGTGCAATATTATTTCCTTAAAATGATTTTGAGTTTGTCTTTAAACTAATACTTTAATATGGCTCGAAATTGCATATATAAGATCAAACGTGCTTGTATTGACGAAAATGCGATAGAAAACCCCTATTTCTGATGGTGTGTGCGACCTTGAGATGTAAACGTCCACCGCTAGAAAATAAAGCCCTATAATTCAAAAATTGTGTGGCGTATTAATACCAAATAGAGCCTTTAGAGGATCAGAATTTCAACCAGACTGATAGCGATGACAATTACCCGGCTATGACTATGGTGCCAAATGTGCCCCATCAAATGCCAAAGCTACCCCGGGTTGGGGCACATTCGGCAAATTTGACTTTTTTTACAAAACTGCAAAATTTTTTAACTAATACTATTTTTTTATATCTTGTTGGTACTATTTTTTATAATTAAGTGTCAGAGGACAACAATCAGCCATCAAGTTGTTATATATGTTGAATAAGTACTGAGATATAGAGCTCTAAAAAAAGTGCCGAAGGTGCCCCAGTCTCCCCTACTAGAGGGAGTGGACTGATAAGTCCCACGTTCCAACATTATACAGGCATAATTAAAATATTACGTTGTGCAAAATTTAGTTTTGACAATTTTGTTTTGGTGGATTGGACCCAGTGATTGTTCCCATCTTCGATATAGCTAGTTAAAAATATTACGATGTGCTTTAGATGGGATTTACAAGTTTTCAAAATTATGACGCTTTGTGAGGGATGTAATAGAAGGAGTGAACCGATAAGTCTCATCTCCCAACAATAACAAGTATAATTAAAATATTAAATTCAGTTGCCTTTGGTTTGAATCGGAAGCTCTTTTTGCATGGTATTATAAAATACCTTTTCAGCTCAATTTTAACAATTTTACGGGGAAGGTACCAGATGGAGTGGACCGATTTCCCCCTCTTGGAACTTAATAAGAGTTTGAAAGTAATTTTACTATGTGCACAATTTGGGTCATATCGGGTTTTCTATTAGCTTAATATTGGATATATAAATATTGAAATTTTTGACCATTTGTGATGTATGAGAAGGAGTAGACCAATAAGTCCCATCTTCTGATTTGATCTAGAATTGGCAAATATAATAGGTTGTGAAAAGTTTGTTTCAAATCGGATAGTCCGTTCGCTTGATATAAAAATCATTTTTAGTACAAATTTTGACCCATTGTGTGGAAGGCATGAGAAGGAGTAGACCAATAGGTCCCATCTTTCGATTTTACCTAGGCTTGGCAAAGATAATAAGTTGTGCGAAGTTTGGTTCAAATCGGATAGTCCGTTTGCATGATATAAAAGTCATTTTTAGTACAATTTTTACAAATTTTTGGGGAAGTGCCAGCAGGCATAAGAAGATTTTCCACATATTCGAATTTAAACTAAGTTTGAAAGAAATATTACTATGTACAAAGATTGGGTCTGGCGCACCAACCAGTGAGACGAACGGGCATTTGCAAATCGACTCCAAATTGTCTGAAACAGATTTAGTCCAAAGAAACATGGGCTGTAAAACCAATATTCGAAGGGCGCACATTTTTGCCGTATCATGTTATATATACCCCAATAAAAAAAGTCCTGCCGGGCGGAACTATTTCACCCTCCGCCAACAGTTCGTCCTGTTGAGAAGAAATTAGATTGGAAAATACGCCTTAAGAATCGATATTTATTTAATTTAATTAATCGATATATATTTGCAAACCTATTTTTAACCTACAAGAAGACGGAATGCAAATTTACAGTTACTTTTAATAGAAAATGCGGCTTTAACCTTAAAAATGCGCTACGACAAAGCATGTGAAAATACAACTAAAACTTTAAAATGTTGGGAGAATATGGCTTCGACAAAGCTTCGTCATCTTCGTCGGTTATTTGTCACTGTTCTTGCATCTTGCCATATAAATTTGTTTTGTATTGGTTCTTGGGAAATTGTTCGCCGCTAGGTGTTTCTTGGTCAACCTCGATTCCATTATTCATTGGGATTCCAAATTTGTAAATAATATTTGTATTCCAACCGGCTGGTATGATTTTCAGTTTGGTATCCTCGTACTTTACTTACTTAGCTGGCTTGTTACAAAACGGTTGTTCCATAAAAAGTGCTTAAAAAAGATTTCCAAGCGCGTCGGTCTTGTGCGCAAGTCCACCAATTTGGATGACCACGTTCCAAGATGTTGTTTTCTACTTGGTCTTTCCGTGGCGTTTTTATATGGCATTTGAGCTGGGGCATTTTCATTCATCCGCACAACATGGCCTAGCCACTGTAGTCGCTGCAGCTCAATACGACTGACTATGTCGATGTCCGCGTATATATTGTAAAGCTCGTGGTTCACCGTCGACGCAGATCGGCCCGTACGGGCCGAATTCGAATTATTTTGTGAAACACTAACTTGTTGTTAATTTCTTTCCATCTGACTGTTATTCTGATTGTGTCGAAAGCTTTCTTGAAATCGATGAACGGTAGAGATACGGGAAGTGCATATATTGTTCTATTATGGCTCGGTAGGTGGACATTCAAATTACCTAAAATTTGGAATTGAAACGGGACCGGTTGGTAAACAATATCTTCAGAAAAGAAGTGTTCGTATAAATATCTGGTATTTATATCAAAATAATTTGGAAAACACATATGCGAATTTTATAATAGCATTGTCTGAAAAAAATAAACAACGAAATGCCAAAATTCCCACAATCGAGTAAGTGGAGAGACAGATTGTCTATGTCAAAACAAAACACAGCCAAACAGTGATTGGTAGTGTTTTCTTTTTTGGGAAAGAATAGCAAAAAGGAGAATAACAAATGAGCATAAGTATTGGTAAAGTAAGACAAAGAAAGTAAATGGTTTTGATATTAATAAATATTTTGCATATTTAAAAAAATAGTAATATTCTCACAATTATAAGAGGTTACTCGTATTGTGAGGACAATATGAAAAAATAAAGTATGAATGAAATTATAAAAATATCCATATTCTAACATTAACATTATCACACTTTCAAATTTCGGGCTGATCCTTGCGAAATGTTCAGAATGAAGTTGTAAAATTACAACTATAGTTTTTAGTATAGACAGTTTTCTGTTCGAGCACCACGGAATTTTACATGGAAAATAGCATAGACGTTTTCTCCAAGAAGACAGGGTCTGGAGAAGTTGCCGGCATATGAAAGCAAGTCTTATGCACTTTATTCACAGAGTTCTATGTTACAAAGAATAAAGATTTAGATACCCTGAAAATTGAGGTTTATATACTGATTTTGTCTTCGAGACCAAAATAATTCTGTAAGAAAAATAAATAAAACAATTTCTTATGTTGCTTTTTGCGCATTTACCAATTGCCAGAACTTTTGTTTATTGTATTTGTAATTTTTTCTTGGTATTTTTTGTATTACATGAAATATGTTCATATATATTAATAGTTGTTTTTATAGCTTTTTTTTATAATAATGTTTAATGATACTATGATTTTTTTTTTAATAC